TCATTAGACAGTCTCGGGGTGACTAAATCGGAGAAGGTGCTTTTATCCGTTGAAGATGAACGAGCATTTTCATTGCTTCAGTCGCTGACCCGTCGTAAAGATAATCGATACGAGTCCGGATTGCTGTGGCGATACGATGACACCCGATTGCCAGACAGTTGATCAATGGCGCTGCGTCGATTGCAGTGCCTAAAGAAACGGATGGAGAAAGACCCGGAAATGTCAAAGATCCTGCAATCAAAGATAATCGAGTATGTGGAGAAGGAGTACATCCGGAAGCTTACAGACGAAGAAATCAACGGCAATTTTTCCCGTAACCAACCCAAACAAACCTGGGAAGGTGCGAATTGTGTGGGACACAGCAGCTATTGCTCACGGCATGTCCTTGAACTCAGCGCTGGTAAAAGGACCGGATCTGTTGAGCTCACTTCTCGCAATTCTACTTCAGTTTCGGGAACGCCGCATCGGACTGACTGGTGATATCCGTGAAATGTTCCACCAGGTACTGATCCGAGCCGAAGACCAGTTATGTCAGTGTTTCTTCTGGATAGACGACCATGGAGCCATAGTAGTGTACGTGATGCAGGTTATGACATTCGGGGCTTGCTGCTCCCCAAGCACTACACAGTTCGTGAAAAATACCAATGCGGAAAGATTCGCGAACAAATATCCAGCTGCATGCGAAGCTATCATGAAGTCTCATTACGTAAATGACATGCTCGTCAGTGTGGATACAGAAGAGCAAGCGATCCAGTTGGCGAAGGACGTTAAGCATGTACACGAGCAGGGTGGCTTTGAGATCCGAAATTGGGTAAGTAACTCGAGAAAAGTACTTTTATCGCTACAGGAGGCAAACACCGACGAAAAAATGTCTCGACTTATCTCCAGAGCTGGCCACTGAGAAGGTGTTAGGCATGTGGTGGAACACGAGCGACGACGTCTTTACCTACAAAGTCGGATGGAGCCGCTACGACCCGGCTCTGCAAGGATGTTTACTCCAACAGGTTTTCCCCCACTCCAAATAAACAAAAGTAGAGGAAACGATATTTCACGATGTTTACATGTGTATGATCCTAAGATGTGAAAGTTGATTGAAAACTTATTCGTCGGAGTACATATGTATAGGGTAGAGAACTAGTTCGGCCTAATCGCCCATGTTGGGCCTATCGAGCAGAAAACTTCAAATAAATCCATGATTTCAGAGTTAACAAGTCAATTAACCGTTTGATATGATACTTTAATTAATAAGCTACGGAACGAAGTCAATGAGAACGCTTGATATGAAGGTTTGCACCAATTTTTCCCAAAACCAAAAGAAGCGCTCCGACCGAATCAATTTGTATCTTCATCCGATAGGCCGAAGTTAATTCATTGGTGTTTCAATAGCGTTTCAATGCGTTTGGCCGAGTTTAGAATCCGTAGGCCGAGTTTGGCGTCAAGAAGCAGTGTTTGACTTTTGACAATATCTCAACGATTGGTTTCTCATTATCAAATCTTACGGTACATACGGTAAGGTAAATAAATTTGGAAGCCATCGGTAATAATAACATTCCGTTTAGTGCTAAACTGTACTAGATTAAGAATGACTATTTGCGGGTTGTGCTTAATAGGCCGGAAATGGGGTAATTAACCCTACATATCTTAATTATTTTTCTGATGTTTGGTCATAATAGGAAACTATGACCAAAACAGGTGCACTAGCCCTACTCACACTAGTTCGGTCTCCCAAAAATCGTAGAAATAAACAATTTTCAAACGGTTCCGGTAAAAATCACATAGCATCTCAATCATTCTGAAAGTGCTTTGAAACAATATTTATATCAAATGCAAATTTAAAACTTCACAACGCTCTACATCCCATCCCGTAAAGATCCCCTGTTCGTTAGCTGCGTCATTGTCGTTATCCCTCGTCACATAATTACTCGCTCTTGGCTGCCTTAAAATTAGCTCACCAAAATCCACCGTGTGCTGACTGTCAAGTTCTCATCCAAGATTACGCAAATTTCATTTCAAGTGGATCCTACCCAAAGCAGCGTACCCTCTCAGCGAAAAAGCATAGAAAACTTTTTGGGTCAATCTCATTAAGTTTACAGCGAACGTTACTTGAACTTTGTGTGCACCGCGCTAATGCACCTGCCTCAACTCTTTTTCGGGCGGGATAAAACTTTTCGACACAAAAGAACTTTTATCCCGCTTTAGTCTTTTATCTCGGCGGCTTTAGTTGGCTTCGCTGTCGTTGTTTAGGGAAGACCTGTGTTTCATCTATCTCTGAAAACTGGATGCAAAGGTAAAAACTTTGCTCTTCTTCGCCGAAAATTCTGTACACTCGTAAAGTTGGTTGCCAAGCAGTTCCGACTGAGCGTTGCCATCATTGTCGTCGACAACCACTTCATGATACAATTAATTCAGAGATTTTAATTAATTCGGAGTTGGATTACAGCTTCTGCCACTTCTGCTACAACGTTGAAAGTTTAATCCCTTCTGCTGCTGCTTATCCACGAACCCTCTATTTTTTTGACTAACATCGGGGTGAAAGAAAAATGAGACAGACATTAACGATTATTCCGTTTTCCCGCTCCTACACAGTTGCACCTTTAGGTAATCCAAGTCAACCCCAATTAATCTGCCCCAGCAGCTGCTAAAACATGCAAACGTAAATCCAAAACAGTAATGATGCCGCAAATAAACTAAGACATTCATGAAAAAGTTAGCCTCGTTTTCTTCGAGCGAAAAAAAAGTTAAAATTTCTCACCCCGAAAATGGCAAATGTAATGAATTACATTTAATCTGCCCCCGAAGAAAGAAGTTGAACCGCGACAAGAGAGTCAACTTCGCAACCGTCACCCACCACCCTCCCGCCGCCAGTTTGCCTGTGCCGACTGGGGGTGAAAGTGATGTTCCACTTTCGAAAACGGGAAAGGGGAAATGGAAAATGTGGCGAGCAAAAATCTAATAAATTACTTTCGAAACAATATATTTTCGCCGACCTTTTTTTTTATAAGGATTGCAAAAGGAAGGGGAGTTGAGCTCGTACATAGTGATGGAAATCCGAAGGTTTTCGGGTCTAAATAATCGGACGACCGACGACGAGTTGGTTTAGAGCACGGGGGTGGCTTTCGTCATGCGGGTTTTATCGCATTTTTCCAAGGAATGCGAGCGGCGAAATGCTTTCACTGAACAGTTTGGAAAAACAGTTGGCATTTTCCGGCCGGTCTATACAAGTGGTGTTAAAAGGTGGTAAACCCAGTTGAACGATTTCACTAAAGCATCAGCATGATAAGACCCTACTACGAAACGTCCTTGGACGAACGTGCCTAACTACGCCTATGGTAAACGTCTAATAGAGAATGAGGGTGCCCCATTGAAACAGAAAGCTAGCACTGGGATGGTTCAAATCCATTAACCATTTTAATTTATGACTGTAAAGTATGATGCTGGGAGAACATTTATTGTTGGTAATAAATTTGCGGAAATCATGTTTCAATAGTACGATGTTCTTAAGAAAATTACCTGCTTTGCCAAAGCAGTTAAGGTTACAGCAAGTATTAGATTTTTCAATTAAAATTCTTCCAAACAACCGCCCGGAACACAAAATCTACCCTGGCGAGTTATTTGCTCTTATTCGTGCTAAATTTGAAATGATGTTCTAGCTCTATCGGACAACGGCACAGCAGTCATCCAAATCGACCCGCTTGCGGTCGTGGAATTCTATTGCTGCAGTCCAGTGCACAATGATGTGGCATCAGTGAAGCTAAAGGGTGTCCCACATCAAATTGCTTCACGAAAAAAAAAACGATGGTTAAAATTACCTAGTTGACCGATCCTTTTCAAACTTTCAGATCGCAGATCGCTTGCCAAATCATGTATTTCTTGGCAAACTTTGAAAGTTTCTGCTTCCATACTTCCTCCGTAACATCAAACTTGTGCTGAGCGGAAGTCCGCCTTGACGTAAGTCTAATCATCCATGGTGAGACAATGAGGCTTCGTCAGCATCTGGGTGTAAAGTTTCCGGGCCCGTGACTTTCCCCTCCGTATTTTGCCGTTTGTCACTATTTGGAGCCTTCTGCACTTTTTACGTATGCATTCCCTCCCAGTCCTTGGCCCTGTGAACGAAAGACTTGGACAGATTCAACTTTTTGGCCACATCCCTGATCGAAGCATTGGGATTCCGCTTAAACGCTTTCACAACACGCTTGTGATCCTGATCACTAATAGAACATCAATTCTGACCGCATTTTTCCTTCCGTTCGATGCTCAGAGTTTCGTAGCAACGTTTAATCACACTACTCACCGTTGACTGCACGATTCCGAGTTGTTTTCTGATGTCCCGATGAGAGAGTTGAGGATTTTCCAGGTGCTTGCGCAAAATCAATTCGCGGCGTTGCTTTTCGGGTGTCGCCATTTTTCGCAACTTTCTAAAAACTGACAGCGATAAAAATACAGTGTAAACAATACACTCTAAACTACTTCTACCCAAATTTTCAAGAGAAAATACCCAATGGGGAATGTTCTACAGTGTTTTTTCCGTGATGCAATTTGATGAGGGACACCCTTTAAATTCCTCCCCCGTTACCCCTTCCATTACCCTCCCCCGCAAATGCAACAATAATGCACAAAAACGCACCATTTTCTGCTAAATCTAGCGGTTGATTTAGGCGGTTGTGGGTGGCGATTGCCTGTGGCTTCTTGCTCGTATCCAGTCCTGCACAACCGTGGAGAGCATGTGTATCCGTTGTTCAGTTTTTGTCGTTTCTATGTTTGCTGAATTCTGGTTGTACGTGGAACCCACCGGTGACCGTCGTGCGATTGTTATACATTATGTCGTCAAACCGCAAAATGTGCTAACCACCAATAATGGTGGCCGCCACGGTTCACCAATTTTCGGGCCCAAAGGCCGGGGATGTGCATATGTAGTAGAGGGTCAACTGCAAATCGAACTTAGTTGAGCAACGATGATGATGAGCGATCTTGATTTCGATTTTTCCCCCATCTCATTTCAGCGGGTCGAATCCGGTGGAAATCTCCTCACCACCAGAGCTGGCCGGGATGACCCTCGAGAAGCGGCTCACCTCGTACGATTGGGCCAATCAGTTCGAGAGCTTCCAGTACGTAACTCGGCTGGGATCCTTCAAGCCACTGTGCTGGACTCCGACCAACACCATGCTGCCGGTAAGTAAAGTTATGACCTTTTTTTTAATCTTGTGGTGAATGTGTTTGGGATTTTGCGTCAAACTGTAAGGGGATGATAGAATGGGACGAGAATGCAGGAATGTGTCAAAAAGGTTTTCGAAGGACCGTCACCTTTTTCACACCTCAGTATAAAATTGTTTGCATTCTCAAACGTATCAACAAAAGCAACTGCAAGCGCTTATAATTTTAATAGACTAGCATTTTACACATCACCGTAAATGAGACAGACATTAACGCATTTCACAGGTTTTGTTTTTGCGTTTTTTACCATTTTACTATTTTTAAGACCATTTTGGCCTTACACCATCGGACTTAAGAACCACTGGCCTAAGGTGTTGTAAATTTTATTCATATTTTCCACAACAGAGGCGATGACTTAAATTCGGTGATACTTTATAAAATATTGCAGATTCTGTGCCGCTGAGTTACAAGAACGATTAAGTTGGTCGAAGAGTGCCATGACTGCAAGAAGACTTGTTTGTTATGATTGGTAGCGCTATGACATCTGGCAGGATTTTCGATTGAATTATTTCCAACTTCATAATCCAGTTCAGTTTTTACGTATTCAGTAATCGTGTTGTGGCAGTGATAATTATTTATAAAAAAAATTGTATCCCAGAGATACCATGGCCGATTAAATTGGAACATTTTTAACATCACTGGGTGATCCTTTAAATTTGTCGAACCTCTTAACGGAATCCCTTTATGAAGACTCAAGACTCGTCTGACCAATAAAGGGTAAACCTTTATTGGTCAGACGAAGAGGACTTTGGAAACAAGGTTTCCATCGCAGAGGTAAAAAAGGCTAACAAAGAGATGGATAAAGGACTTCATTATGAATTTAAATCCAAGGTTGCAGAACATATCGTTACAAAGGGGCACAATTTGACTAAGGAAAAAATTAATATCCTGCGGACTGTATCTTCGCCTTGGAAACTAGACGTAGCTGAAAGTTTAGAAATATTTAAACATAATCCATCAACATTGCTTAATAGAAATCAAGGAAACGGATACTTAAGACTCTTTAGCATGCTACCTAAAACGACACATCGTAGCATGCATCTACCTGTTGGAGACTGAATTTAGGTACCTGGTTAGGTAAATTTTGACATGGCAGTGGATAACTGCTGATTTTTTAGTACCTATTGATTAGTATATAACTTGTAGATAAAAGATGGATTCTTCAGTGGTGTTGAGTACTTGGCACTGATGAAGTCTGCTAGTAGTAGACGAAATACGCGTATCTGTCAAAATATAAGCAATTATAACGGAATTTAAAGGAAATAAACCAACCCACTCAAAGCTCATCACTGGGTGGTTCTTACATCTGTTTGGTAGTTTATTTTTCAATTTATATCATATATCTCATAATCTTACTTATGATTGCACTTGGAGGCGAACCAGCCTCAGGCTGAAAGCCTCCTTAATAAAGACAAATCAATCATCAACCTGATTGCGACTACATATTGTTTTCCTGGAAAACCCGAAAATGATAGAGAACAATCATAAGACTCCATGCCCACCGTGGAATCAGTTCCGGATGATCTGGCTTATGGATCCATATGGTCAAGTTTATTATCTGCCATAACCATATCAAGCGACATTTCAAATCACATCTACTCGATGAAATATGACCAATGGCACTCAAAATGTTGTGGGGCGAAAATCACCCACTCCCGGCAGATACACGTATTTGTGGTGAAATGCTTCAAGCTGCATGTATTTATTCTAATTAGTATTGTTTCTCTGATCATATTTCCTACAACTTATAATTTTGGTTAACCATTAAGAAAAGGCAGAATCTTATCACGATCAACGCTTTTTTTCAGATAGTTTAGGTCTCTGTACATGGTAAAGGTTCCAGAATATTAGGTTAGATATTTGTAGTCCCTATTTTGAGGTATTTTAGCACCTCTACTCACATTTTCTGGCGTTATTCGTACGTCCTTCGTATAATCTTCTTAGTTCAGCGCAGTGCAGTAGGTTTTAATCTAGAATTGTTCAAGTTCGGTTTGATCATCTATTAAATTCATCAACGAGTTCACGTTTACCTTATATGCAATAGATTTAGAAATATAGAGTAAGTTTCACTGCAACATATAGCTTTAGCACACCGCACTATACAACATTCAATGTATGTTAATCTAGGCCTAAGTGTATTGTTTTGGATATAATTTTAAAGTTAAATATCTAGTTTTAAGTTCACCTGATTTAATTATCTTTTGTTGCTTTATGTTACGTACAACTACTTCCCTGTCTCTCCGTCCGTTGACGGCACTGGCGTTAGATCGATCAAAGCGGTGATCGTTTGACTGATCGGCCACAGTTGAGCTGCGACGGGGGTCTCATCGTGACACAAAACAACATGGAACCATATGGTCACCGTAGAACCGGTTCCGGCTATTCCAGACCATGGTTTCACATCGACAGAGCCATATGGCCATCGTAGAACCGGTGTCAGATGCTTCCAAATGATCAAATTTGACATCTCTCATAACCATATCAAACGACATGTCAAATCACATTTACACGAAGAAATATGATCAATGGCACACCAAACGACCAAAGAGCCATATGACCTCCGAAGAACTGGTTCCGGGTATTGGTTCCACGTAGTCAAACCTTCTCTCATAGCCACTTTAGAAACGGCTCTGGATATTCCGGATTGTTTTTTCTTATTTTTTTTTTTTGTAAATTAGTTTATTTGTACAGGCTTAATCGGATAAACTGTACAGAGCTAAGTTATCGTTTGCATTATACATAATTACTGTCTTAAATATACAGTTGAAGGAATTGAGCCGAATGCTCGCGGTCGTCTCGAGGTTAGTGGAGATTTACTGTTTTATGGATGGAAAGAAGGAGAAGGAGGTTTGAAGTATGATTTAGTACGACACAAATATTTCATTATTCTTTAAACTTGAACTTATTCCTATTCATCAGCAGTGTAATTAATAATTATTGCAAAACCAACATTTAGAAGACAAAAAAAAACCCGCACACACAAAATACAAACTAAACACAAAGTTAATCAATCTGAGATTGATATTTTTCAAGAAAACATATATGAGTTTTATAAACTCCTAGCCAAAATATGCCAAACAGCCCGAAGGGAATCGTACAGCTTAGATCAGATTCCACGATGCTCAGCACAAGATTACTGTCCCCCAGCCCAACACAGAACAAGTGAGCGTTTAACGAGTAGGGATTGGACATGATATGAGACATCACACGAATGAAGTATTGACCTAACTCCAACCCTTTGAACCAAGGAATCTTCGACACCTTAGGGATTATCGAATATAGCCATCGCCCCAAACTCCCTTAACTTCATTTATTGACAAAGAAAGCCTTCCATAGCGCCCACCTTTGCAAGCGAGTCCGCCTTCTCATTGCCCGGACTCGAGCAATGAAATGGGACCCATGCAAAGGTGATGACAAAAGATCTTAAAGATAAAGCACTTAGAAGCACTGTGCTTGGCATGCACAGTTGTATACACCAACTGCTCATTTGTTAATAACTTTTCACTCAGTTGTTGAAATTTGTTTTTTCTTTAAACTTTTTGATATATTAGGATCATAGCTTACTATAGATATGCAAAGAGTAGATAAATCTTAACATTTGAATCAACACCTATGATTTTTTACACTTAAAGTCCGAGATGTGCAGCCAGCATTTCTCACTTCATTTTTACAACGCAAAAGCAAATTCAGTTTATTACGAGTATTAAAATCTGCTTTTTTACGAGCCTATAACAAGCTATAAATGTGGGTAAAGTGATTAGCAAATGAGCAGTTCGTGACCAAAACTGTGTATGCCAAGCATGCTTGTATTTTCATGACCAAATACGAGGAGTGCTTTACCGGCCTCATGGAGCAAATAGCCTCTACAGAACTGAGACTATCCGTAAAAATAAAATAGTGATCTGGGGCATGTGAGGCGATAGTTTCTAGCGTATAATGTATTGCCGCCAAGTCAGCAACATATATGGAACAAGGAGCATGAAGCATTCGAGAGGCGTTATGAAATTCGTTATAAATACCAAAACCAGCGGACGCCTCTATTAATGATCCATCTCTGAAGAATGATCTTGCGAAATCAACTTGGCCAAACTTTGCAGCGAAAATTGACGGAGCAGTCATGGAGCGATGATGCTCTGGGATCTCACGAATCTCCCGCGTGATGGATAACAGATGAAAAGAATTGTCGAAATCGGAGAAGCAAACACGATTGGGATTATGCTGCGAAGGGCTGACATCCTTTGCTATCGACACGAAGTACAATGACATAAAACGAGTTTGAAGGTTCAGCTCAAGAAGCTTCTCAAAGTTTGCTATCACCAGTGGGTTCAAAATTTTACACCGGGTGAGGAGCCTGAGGGACAATTCTGAAAACCTATCCGATAATGGGAACATGCCCGCCAACACTTCGAGACTCATCGTATGAGTCGATTGCATGCATCCTAACGCAATACGAAGACAGCAATACTGGATATGTTCCTGTCTGATGATGTGAGTTTTAGCTACCGTACTCTAAAACCGATAAAATCGTTCTCGGGTACAACATTAGAAGATCTTGCGGATGAGCTTCCCACCACGTTCCGGTAATTGTTCGGAATAAATTGATCCTTTATTGGCATTTCCGCTTCAGATTCTCAATGTGGGATCTCCAGTTGCATTTGGAATCGAACCAGAATCAGACATAGAATGAGTAATCAGTTTACGCAAAAGTTGAAGTTTCGTGTTGCGACCCCTCGGTTGGCGTGCCTCACCAAAACGAACCATGCGTTCAGCATGAACATGAACCGTGTGTTCAACAAGTAAGCACAGTGACGGCTCTCGTTTACTTTCGACTGTCACTCATTCAACTGTATAGCGGTAGGGTGTAAAAGTAATTAAGCAAAGATAAAAGCAAACGTGGTGCGTGCACTAATCGTATCGTAAACTGTTCTCTAAAATTAAATAGAAAGGCTTAAGCCTAA